CTCTGTGCTTTCACTGCTGAGGGCATGGGTTCAATCCCTGGTCAGGGAATTAAGATCCCACAAGCCAGGTGGGCAAAAAAAGGAAAAAAAAAAAAAAAAAAAAAAAAAAATCCCAGTTAGAATACTCATGAGACTGTATCCTCAATACAAACTTCCGTTCATTTTCTACTTACACATTTTCAGGCAAGTCCAAAAAGGCTCCCTAAGATCACCACTGACAGATTTCAACAGATGTCCTAATAAAGCACTGATAATTAACACCGTAGCCTCTGGCTATGAACACAGCTACAATTTACAAGGAACACCCTAAGTGCCTTGGAGGGTACAACCTAAAATCTTTCTCATTACCCTGTTTATTTCCTTCACAGCAAAATGTGCTAGGAGTAATTAACTTGTTTATTTGTCTACCTATCATCTAAAATAAATGTCTACTGCCTGGGGCTAGGGTCTTGGCTGTCTCACTCACCACAAAGAAGAACAGCTAGAAGGATCAGCTGGTCTCGAGGAGATTCTACTCTCCAGGCCTAGAACAGTGCCTGGTTCGTCATGTGCACTCAATATTTGTCGAATGAATAAACATAAAAACTGAGTGAGTGATGTCTAATACATTTTTAGAATTTAAAGACTGCATATAACATTGGTGCCTTGTTATAAACATATTAATGTAAAAACAAAACCCCCAAAATTAATACAACCTGGAGATCAGTTAAAAGATACTGTTCGGGCTATAGTTGGCTGGGATTAGGGTGACCATCTTTACTTTTTTTTTTAATTTAAGTACAGTTGCTCTACAATATACAACTAGTTGCTAGTTCCAAGTGTACAGCATATTGATTCAGCATCTTTATATTTTTTAGAATGGTTTTATTTTTCTAAAAATAGCTGCCAAAAAAAATGTGAACCTCTTCTATTAAAATCAGAGTTTGGTATTATGTATAAATGAAACCGTGGGTGGGATTTTCAGAATCTCAAACCCAATTCACTAAGTTGGCAGTATTTTTACTAAGAACTCCTTTCTCCACACATTCAGTATGATTTTCATTGTGAAATAGTGACCCTCAAAACAACTCAGAAGTTCATATGTAGGTTCCTCATTCCCTAGTTACTTATTCCAATAAATTTCACAGCGGGGGGGCGGGGGAACCAACCCCATGAATTCTAGAGAAAGAGCTTTAACTCACTTGCTGCCATGTCAGCTTCAGCCGCTCATACTGCTCCTTGCCATCTTCAGAGCAATCAGAACAAGTAAACCTAAAAAAATTATCGCCCTTAAGGTAACTGAGCTGTTCCCTCAGCTGACCTAGGAGGAAAACAAAAAGGCACATCACAGGTGGATCTACAACCGAGGTAACCCAAAGTTTTCATCAAGCTACCAGCCACTTCCCAAGTTTCCCAGGCTGCGTTTTTCCTTTTCTTTCAGGCAGCCCGTGAGGGCAGGATGGGGATGGGGAAGGGAGCAGAGAAGGTTTTTATTCTTCTAACATCAAGTGCATGCCCACTAAGATAGATCTGTGGTTCCCGGACTTTCAGAAGAGACACTGGAAAGGCAGGTAGGATTGTTCTCACTGGCTGTTCCAACTGTTAACATTCCCGACTCCTACAGGTCTCCTCACACATTCTTCCAAGAAAACATCTGAGCTCCCACTGTGCCACTGGGCTAGGAATCAGGAACACAACACCTGAGACAGACGCAGTGCTGGCTCTCAGAGGCTTACAGATGCGGTGAGGGCTACAGAGGTGAAAGTAGGTAATCACAGCAGCACAGAGGCTCTCTGTCCTGACTGTGCATCAGAACCACCCAGGAAGTTTTGTGTTTTAAATATGCCCAGGTCAGGGGCTCCCCTGGTGGCGCAGTGGTTGAGAGTCCGCCTGCCGACGCAGGGGACTCGGGTTCGTGCCCCAGTCCGGGAAGATCCAACATGCCGCGGTGCGGCTGGGCCCGTGAGCCATGGCCACTGAGCCTGTGCGTCCGGAGCCTGTGCTCCTCAATGGGAGAGGCCACAACAGTGAGAGGCCCGCGTACCACAAAAAAAAATTAAAAAAAAAAAAAAATGCCCAGGTCTCTCCCCTGCAAAATAAATCAACCTCTGGAAGCAGGGCATTTTCTGAAGTTCCCCAACTGATGCTGATGCTCGGGGAGACATGGAAACCCTGGAGAGGGATGTGATGGGTGCTGTGGGGCAATGTGAGAGCACATAAAAGAGGTGCCCACCCACATGAGGAAGACAGCAGCGCTAGAAAAAGTGGGGTGGACGGGGGCCTGAAGGATGGCTAGAATTGGCACGTGAAAAGGTGTTTGTGTGTGGGGCGGGGAGTATAGAGGCTGTAGAGACACATGTTCCACAGAGGAAACTTACATGCACAAAGTCCTAGGGATAAGAAAGAACTGCTTGGGCTTCCCTCGTGATGCAGTGGTTAAGAACCCGCCTGTCAATGCAGGGGACACGGGTACGAGCACTGGTCTGGGAAGATTCCACATGCCATGGAGCAACTAAGCCCATGCGCCACAACTACTGAGCCTGCGCTCTAGAGCCCGTGCTCCGCAACAAGAGAAGCCACCGCAATGAGAAGCTCTCGCACTGCAATGAAGAGTAGACCCCACTCACCGCAACTAGAGAAAACCAGCGTGCAGCAACAAAGACCCAACGCAGCCAAAAATAAATAAATTTTTAAAATTTATAAAAAAAAGAACGAACTGCTTGTGGAGAAGGAAAAGCTCACCCTAACTGCAAAGCTCTGTTTCCATGTGGGGATAGTAGGGCACGAAGGAGAGAGGCTGGAGCAGTTAGCAGGGGCCCCAGGAGGCAGGGCATTTACAGCGCAGGCTATGAGGATGGGGGAAAGCCACCCAGGCTTTCAGGCTGAAACCTGAATCTATAAGCAGAGACAGCTGGAAAGCCAAAAACTAGCTAACTTATAATAAATTTTAGGTTTGCTTTCTGTGAAAATGGTGTTAATTTATTAATAATAACTATGAATCCATCTTAAAAACACCTCCACATACCAGAAAATGACCCAGTTCACAACAATATATATACACATACACATATGTAAATTTCTCTGACCTAGTTACAAATTCTATTACACAGGGTATTCCTCTAGTACATACGTCTTTACTACTCTCCACGTAATGGAAACATCCTGTTTTGGTTAAGAGCCCTGATGACTGGCAAAACACCTTATTGTGTGTATCTACGGCCAGCAGATCAAGGAGGCCAGCAAAGAGAAAACACGAATGGCCCTAGAAAAAGGCATAATACGTATTTAATCTCCCAATTCCGACCTTATATCAACATACTATAGCAGTTGTTTTCCATGTAAGTTAGACACTACCAGAGTTATGTTTATGAGTCTGAAGTTGAGCTCTACACTGGGCCTAGAATTTGGCCCCAAAACCACAATAATGTGACCCTGATAGAAAAATGTGGCTAATTCTTTAAATAACACAGAATTTCCAATTTTCTAATTTTTATTTGGGTTACAATTGAGAACGTTAATTTAACAACGTGATAGAGGTTGGCAGTAATATATATTAGTACAAATATGTTTACGCTTTATATAAATTTGCAGTTAATCAACTACACTAATAATAAGTATAAGAGTTATCTTTTTATTTGGGTCTCTTTCACATTCATGTTTCTCTCACAGGTTAGAAAAACAAACCTTCCTGCAGGAATTGACAAAGGAAAGGAAAGGAGAAGCTCTTACTGGCTGGGATCCACTTCTGGCACTTGTCGCAGAAGTAGGACAGCTGCTCCTCCATCCACGACACGTCCCCTTCATCACTGTTTAGGGAGTCTCCGCTCTGGTCGTGAGACAAGTCCACAGATGCCTGGTCCTCTGACTCGACGATCAGCAGAGTCTCCCCCTCCACCTCCCCCTCCTCCAGCCCCTCCGAGGTGGACGTTCTTGTGGCTTTATCGTCGTGCCGACTGATCAAACTGCTCAGATGGATGTTACTCTCCATCCCTCCCGGCTTGCAGGTTCAGTGCTCTCGGGAACAATCCCAGTTTCTGGACACTAAGCTTGAAGGGGCTCCTTGCTGACCACACAAACAAACTCTCAGAAGAGCGTCTGCCCGAATCTACTCAGACACA